AATCATATATATATATATATATATATATATATATATATATATATATATATATATATATATATATATATATATATATATATATATATATATATATATATATAATGAAATGATTATTTATATATAAAATTATATGTATGATTATATATAATTATCTAATATATAATTATAAAATCATATATATATATATATATATATATATATATATATATATATATATATATATATATATATATATGTATATATATATATATATATATATATATATATATATATATATATATATATATATATATATATATATATATATAATTATATAATATACATAATTATAATTATATATATAATTATAATTATATATATAATTATATATATAATCATATATATGATTAAATATATAATTATACATGTATAAGAGAGAGTGAGTGAGTGAGTGAGTGAGTGATATAAATATGATATATATATATATTTAATATGTATGTATGTGTGTCTATATATGTATGCATACATGTATATATGTGTATATGTATATATATATTTATGTGTATGTATATATATGTGTATATATATTTATGTGTATGTATATATATATATATATATATATATATATATATATATATATATATATATATATATATATATATATATATATATATATATATATGTATATATGTATATATGTATATGTATATATATGTATGTATATATAGTATACATATATGAGAGTATAAATGTATTTATATATACATAGTATATGTATATGTGTATGTATATATATGTATATGTATATATATGTATATGTATATATGTATATGTATATATATGTATGTATATATAGTATACATATATGAGAGTATATATGTATTTATATATACATAATATATGTATATAGATATAATGTACACATACACACACACACAAATATACATTATATATATATATATATATATATATATATATATATATATATATATATATATATATATATATATATATATATATAATGTATGTTCATATACATATATATATATATATATATATATATATATATATATATATATACATATATATATATATATATATATATATATATATATAATGTATGTTCATATACATATATACCAGTATATATGTGTATATGTATATATGTATATGTATATATATGTATGTATATATAGTATACATATATGAGAGTATATATGTATTTATATATGCATAATATATGTATATAGATATAATGTACACATACACACACACACACACACAAATATACATATATATGTATGTATATATATATATATATATATATATATATATATATATATATATATATATATATATATATATATATATGCATATGCATATATTATGTATATATTAATATATACATATATGTATGTATAGGTATATATACATACATATACATGTATATATATACATACACATATACATGACACATAATATACATGTATATATATATATATATATATATATATATATATATATATATATATATATATATATATATATATATAAATATGTGTATATTTATAAGTAATATTCACAAATGTATATATGCATATACATATATATGTTTATGTATTCATATTTATACTATATAACTGTATATATATATGTATATATATATATATTTATATGTATATATATACATATATACATATATACGTATGCATGCATATATATATATATATATATATATATATATATATATATATATATATATATATATATATATATATATATACATACATATATATACATATATACTATATATGTGTATATGTGTATATGTATATATATGTATACATATATACATATAAGAATATAATATAGACATATATGTATACATCTATACATGTATATATATGTATATATAGAGGTGTAAACATATACATGTGTATATATGTATTTGTGTATATTATATATGTATATTTATATGTATATTTATATGTATATGTGTATATTTATAAGTATATATATAAATATATGTGTGTGTGTGGTGTATAATGTATATATATATGTATATGTTTATATATGTATATGTTTATATATGTATATGTTTATATATGTATCTGTATGTATATATGTGTGTGTGTGTGTGTGTGTGTGTGTGTGTGTGTGTGTGTGTGTGTGTGTGTGTGTGTCTGTGTGTGTGTGTTTCATGTGTAATATACATATTTTTTTTCTTTTCTTTTCTTTTTTCATCACCATAAGCACTTCAGTTATATATTTTTTTTTATAGAATTTTAAATGTACCAAAACTTAATTTGTATTAAGAAATCTAGGGTCATTCCCCAATAAATTTTAATGAATTACAAGTCAGTGTTTTCATATATTTAGTGCAAATTACAGTAGGCCCTGCCTGATTGTATATGTAATTGTCTGCTAACATACTGTATAATCAATATTATCACTATTTAAACAACTATTTAAGTCATACCCATTACCTAATAGGAATGCTCAAAGAATTTAAGAAATACTCATATATACTTCACATGATGAAGTGTTTTACCAGGTAGACAGGAGCAAGAATAGGGGCCTTTAATAAAGGAATCAAATATGCAAATGGTATTCTTTATAGAACATAAACATTTTATATTGCCAAAGTGCTCTAGATTACAGGTATGCTGGATGAAGTAGAATAATTATTTAAGAAGACTAATTTTCATTATTAAATTATGTGTTTTATATTTCATATAATTGGTTTTCACATGAGCCTTGAATATTGAATCTGAAGTTCTGTTTAATGTTTGAACTGTCATGTGATATTAGATATAACATTTTACTTTATATTTCTTATTATTTTCATTTTTTTTATTCACCATTCAAAAACAAACAATTATAATGATAACCCATGTCTTTTAGTTATTGCCAATATTGAATTTTAGTTTCACTGTATTATCATGTTGAAGGATTCCCAGACTGTAGAAGAAGAATAATCCTAGGTCATTACATCTTTCAATTTACCGTGGGTTATGCTTGATTTTTTATGTATTTATGTATTTTGTCATCCAGTTTTCTCACAAAAATTTATATTTTGATGGAATAGACCATTCAATATTAATATTTTTTTGGAAAATATTGCACGTGAGCTGAATGAGGAAGTGAGCAGGTTACACAAAATTCCATTGTAAAATTACTGTTGTATTGAGCCTGTTAAATGAATGTTATGAAATTATTTTTTTCTGTAATCCTGTTATTAAAGACTATACTATTAAAAATATGAAAGACTCATTATCCTGGTAATAAGCACAATTTCAATAAAGCCAGCTAATAAAAAATGTGTACCGAATAGTATAGGAAAGTATCCCTTACGTGTTCATGTTGTGGAATATTCAGAAATGGAGGATATCCTAGCTAGTCTCCAGGTGAAGCAAGCTCTTTTTAAAGATATATCCTTAAAAATACCATTATTGTAATTTAAAAATCAATTGTGCTCCTATCTAACACTTTAAATTTTGATACCTAATGAAATTATTTACCTGCATAAATGAAATTGCCTTTCTACACTAACAAACTGCTTTGTCTTTCTTCAATATTAAAAGGTTAGCTGTATTTTGGAAGCATTGTGCTAGGATCTCTTGCAGTGAATTTCTTTGTATTCTGTTGAAATTATAGTACTAATTCTGTTTTTGAAATCTAACTGCCTTTCGGCTGTTTAGTCCTTCAACAGGGTCTAATATTTAAATTAAATGGCATAAATAAAAAATGTAATATATGCATATATATATATATATATATATATATATATATATATATATATATATATATATATATATATATATATATATATATATACATACATACATACATATATATATATATATATATATATAGAGAGAGAGAGAGAGAGAGAGAGAGAGAAATTTCATACAAAAAATATAAAAAATGAGCACAGCATTTTCCCTATTTTTTGTTCATTTTTACCTGGCGTGAATGGGTTAACTGTGGATTTCTCAAGCTTTGTGCATTTCATTGTTAGTCACAATATGCTAATTTTCATATCATAAATGTCCCATATGTTACATTTCCATTACATACTCTTAATACTATTATATATTAAACCTATAATCTTTATCATCCCTTCATGTGCAGGATTCATGAGGGACAAATTTCAAATAAAACACCATAGGTAAGAACAAGAAAACGATCAAATTTCAGTATATTGCTTCTTCAGGGAATTAGAGTGAAATGGTCTTTGGTACGTTCATGCCTTCTGGTTCCTCCCTTTGTTATATTCTTCCTCTCATATTTAATCTGAAGTTTTGTATCAACCCCAGTTTCAAACAAACATAATTTATATCATGTTTATGTGAAAATAAATATACATGTTTTTTTTTTCCCATTTATTTATAGAAAATAACATGAAAATCTGATTGGAATATCCCAACCAGAGGAAAACTTTGTTTTTCTTTTTCATTTTTTTTCTTCTTTTTTTATCATGCCAAATACATACATACACGATATATATGTGTACGTACATACATATACACACACACACACACAGATGTATATATGTATATATATTCTTATATATATATTTTATATATATACATACATATACATACACACATGAACACGCATGCACGCACACACACACACACATGCACGCGTACGTGTACACACACACACACACACGTGTGTGTGTGTGTGTGTGTGTAGTTTTAAATCAAAGATTATATTTATTGCAGATTGTTACTATTTATTATACGGTAAAATATCCAAGTAAAAAAAAAGAAAAAATTACACATATCACTTATCACCATAAACTGCAAGCTTTACTAGTATGGGGTAAACAATACTTCACACACTATATATATCAACACTAGCCTTCAAAAACAAACAACCTAATACAAGCAAACTTATCTGCTGCAGAACCTAAAAGTTGCTCAGCATTACAGGTATCTTATGCAAGGTGCTCACAAAGCAAAAAAATGAGTTATAATACATAGACAACATGTATTTCCAATCACCTCTTGCTCTTTTTCAACAAACTGAATGCCTTCTCTCTGCTCTAATAATGGGATAATAATAATGGATACATCCACATTTTCACAGCCAAAATATATAAATCTATTTCTTACAGATAAACTTCAAAGAATGTGCAAGCATGTCACCAAGTTTGTTTTTGTTTGCCTATATTTTTTTTCTTTATTTTAATATAAACTAAATAAGGCATTCTACAATTCTTGATCATTCTAGTTAGGAAGTTATTAGTCACTATATATTTCCTCAGCGATCTTGGTGTATGTATATTGGGTTAGATAAGAGACATTATTTGAAAATGTTTGGGCTAATTATCATTTAATAATAAACAGGGCAATGAATAGTTTACCAAGTTCAACTTTTGATTTATAAAAGAAAATAAATATTTTTACTGTCATATTTTGAGTTTTCTGTATACTCTGATATATCTAAAAATCTACTTGTATTTTATAAAATAATCAAATAGTACAAAATACTGAAAGGTTAGGAATTATAGTTATAGAAAAAAAAGTAGCAATACAACAAAACATACTGAATGAATCCTAGACTAGACCTTATGGGCATGGACTTGCTTTATGAAGTTAAAGAGCAGAATATGGAACTGGTTGGGCCTATCCAGATAAGCTGGGTGCCGTGCTTCAGGTAGCTCCACTGCTTGAGATGTTGGGATATTGATCAGATTTTTCCGAGACTCCACACCCAGACTTTGGTCCTTAGATCCATATATGATTAGGGTTGGAATCTGTATAAAGAGAGGAATAATTTAGAAAGGTATTGTCAAAACATATATATATATATATATATATATATATATATATATATATATATATATATATATATATATATAATATATATATATATATATATATAAATATATATATATATATATATA